AGAAATTACTAATATTTAATGTTCTCAATTTTGTTTTGCAATATAGTCTCACACACACACCTTTTTTTTTGAGACAGGGTTTCTCTGTGTAGCATTTGCTGTCCTGGAACTCACAGAGATCTGCCTGCCTCTGCCTCCCCAGTGCTGAGACTAAAGGTGTGTGAATGGGCCACTCCTCACCCCTGGGTTTTTGTTTTGTTTTGCTCTTTTTCATCATTCCAGAATTCTGGTTTCTTTAACATGAGTAGTACTTTGGCCATTTAAGAAAATAAAACAAGAAGACCTTTCTCAGAACACTTAACTTGATTTGGTTTTATATATTTTTCTGAGACAGGATCTCACTGACTATATAGTTTGGAACTCAGTGTCCTTGCTCTCTGTCTGCACGCGCCCCCCCCCCCCCCCCCCCCCCCAATCCAAGTTTGCTTTTAACTTGCAGAGTAGCCAGGGGTGGTCCTGAGTTTCTGAGAGTTCTCATTTATCCCTAGTGTCAGGGATACAGGTATTTGCCATCAGCCTGGGTATATGTGGTGCTGCAGTTGGGACAAGCACTCTACCAGCCCTTGCTGAACCAATTCTGTTCACCAACTTGCTTGTTTTGCGTTGGACTTTAGTCATTCATGCCATCAATCCTTGATTGGGTCTTGGTTAGTGCTCTCTCCAGTTGAAGCATCTATCTTCAACAGTCATCAGCTTTTTGTTATTATTTCATTTGATAGCCATTTGAATTTTTCCTTAAATAGATTAAATTTCCCATTTTTTAGGGTCTCTTATGCGGGAGGGAAGGGAGGTGTGTTTCAAAATAGGATTTCTCTGTGTAGCTCTGGCTGTCGTAGAACTCTCTCTGTAGACCAAGTTGGCCTCAAACTCAGAGATCTGCCTGCTTCTGCCTCCTAAGTGCTGGGATTAAAGGCTGTGCACCACGGCCTAGCTTTTAAGCCATTTTAAAGTGTACCATTTGGCTCATTTAGCACATTCAGTGTTGTATAGCTGCCTCCTCTTCCTGGTTCCAACCTTTTTATTATCCTGGAAGGAAGTAGTCACATTTTCATTCCTTTCTTCCTGGACTCTTGTAACCTGTAGTTAAGAGGCTTTCTCTCTGTGTAGCCCATTCTGGGTTTTTCATATAAAGAGTGTCATGACATGTGGCCTTTTGTGTTTGACTGCTTTCATTTCACACACTTCCAACATTATACATGTTATAACTAGTATAATTTTTTTGTTATTGAAACTCATTCCAGTAAAATTAGAAAATTTATAATTGTAAAAAATAAAACTTTCTAAGTATGCTTTTTTGGGCTTGAGGCTGTACCTCAGTGTTATTACATGTGAGATGCTAGACTCAATCCGCAGTACCCTACACTCTATTCCCTAAACTTAAGAATTTTTATTTTTTTTATTTTACTTAAAAATACTGCAATTATTTTGTGGGGTGTGTGTGTATGCATGTGTATATGTATACAAGTATACATGCACATGAGTATAGAAATTATAGGACCTCCAGAAGTTGGGGGTGGGAGGTTGGTTCTGCTCTCCTACCATGTGAGTCCTGGGAATCAAACTTGTGTTGTTAGGCTTGGCAGCAAGTATCTTTAACTGTTGGGCCATCTTGCCACCTCAGAGTATGCTTCCCACCCCTACACCCAGGGGTTTCTCTGTATAACCCTGACTGTACTGGAATTCTGTAGAACAGGCTGACCTAGAACTTGGAGATCCACCTGCCTCTGCCTCCCCAGTGCTGGGATTAAAAGCATTGTGCTGCCACCACCACTGGTTCTAAAATACGATTTTTTTTTTTTTTTTCTCAAGACAGGGTTTCTCTGTGTAGCTTTGGCACTTTTTCCTGAAACTCACTTTGTAGCCTCAAACCCACAGAGATCTGCCTGCCTCTGCCTCCAGAGTGCTGGGATTAAAGGCGTGCCCCACCACTGCCCGGCTTAAACACCCCCCCTTCCCCGAAGACAGGGTTTTCTGTGTAGCTTTGCACCTTTCCTGGAACTCACTCTGTAGCCCAGGTTGGCCCAAAATATGATTTTTAAAGGGATTGGGCACACAACTCAGCATTTGGGAGGTAGAGAGTAGAGGATTCTGAGTTTAGAACTAGACTGGGTTACATAATGAGGCTATATCTCAAAACAGATTTAGAAAAAATTTTAGGCCTTTAGAAAAATTGGCCTAGATATCTGGATTGAAGCTTTAAAATCTCATTGCTGAGATGTAGTTATGTTCATGAGGTTTCTGCGTAAGCAGATTCCTCACCAGCCTCTTAAGTGCTTTTTGTACACAGTCAAATTCATACACACCTCTAATAGGTGGGATGCTTCTCATCTCATTACAAACTAACCTGTTGGGGCTGTAGATCAAGAACTGCTTCCTAGTAGAGGTAACACATTAATACCTGTTTTGTTACCCGGTTTGTTTTGGTGTGTATGTCAGGATTTCTTTTTCTCCCCACCATCACTACCACCTCTCTTGCCTCACGCACTTACCGGGACTGAAGTGATGCAGATGAATGGAGTAGTACCAAGACCATTGTTTCCCTTTTCCTTTTCTTCTCTCATAAATTACATTCCAACTGCAGTCCACTCCTCCTCCTTTCCCTTCAGAAAAGGGCAAGCCTCCCAGGGACATCAACCAAACATGGACTATCAAGTTACAATAATACATCTAGGTAAATCCCTTCATAGGGCTGTACGGGGCAACCCAGTAGGAGGGGAAGGGTCCCTAAAGCAGGCAAAAGAGTCAGAGACAGCCCCCACTCCCTCTGTTAGGTGTCCCACAGAAACAACAAGTTACACAACCATAACATATATCCCGAGGACATGGGTCAGACCCATACAGGCTCCCTGGCTGTCGATTCAGTCTTTGTGAGCCCCCATCAACCCTGGTCAGTTGACTCTGTGGCCCATTTTCTTTTCTTTTCTCTCTATATCTATATCTATATATTATTTTTTAAAGATTTTTATGTGTATAGTGTTCTTTCTGCTTGTATCCCTGCAGGCCAGAAAAGGGCACCAGATATCATTACAGATGGTTGGGAGCCACCATGTAGGTGCTGGGAATAAACTCAGGATCTCTGGAAGAACAGTCAGTGCTCTTAACCACTGAGCCATCTCTCCAGCCCGTGGCCCATTTTCTTGTGTCTTGACCCCTTGGGCTCCTACAGTCCTTCCTCAACCTTCTGCAGGATTGATTCCCCAAGCTCCACCTAATGTTTGACTGATTCTTTGCATCTACTCCCATCAGTTGTTGAGTGAAACCTCTCTGGTGACACCAAGACCATTTTTACCTAAAGAATATTACAATTTTTTCCTAAACCCCATAAAGTATCTGGACAGTAAATAAACCAAATATAAGTGCAGTCTTTCTTTTGCAGTAAAAATAATTGTGGCTGAGCAGTGGTGGTGCACACCTTTTATCCCAGCACTTAGGAGGCAGAGGCAGGTTGATGTCTGTGAGTTCGAGGCCAGCCTGGTCTACAGAGCGAGTTCCAGGACAGCCAGGGCTACACTGAGAAATCATGTCTCAGAAAAAAACCAAAAACCAAAAGAATAATTGTGTTTCCCCTGCTTTTATTTCCCAATGCTGAAATTACAGCTTCTTTATTCAGCTACTGATGGGAAATTTGAAAGTCGGACTTTACAACTTTTAGAGGATGAAATAGTGTTATGATCTTAAAAATAGATTGACTGTAAAATATCTAAATGAAAATTTCATTTGAAAATGTTAGTAGTGGGTGGAGCTGGAGAGATGGCTCAACAGTTGAAGAGCAGAGGACTTCAAGAGAACCAAGGTTTGGTTCCCAGCACCCAGGTTGGTGGCAAACAGCCACTATAATTTCAGCTCCAAGGGTTCTGGCACCCACACACTTTGTGCACATATATGAATAAAAATAATCTTAATTCAGCTCCTGTTTTCCATCATTTCCTTCTCCGCCTCTGTTTTGTGTGTGTGTGTGTGTGTGTGTGTGTGTGTGTGACACATGTAAGGTTTTAGAAATGTTAATTCTAAGTTGTTGCTTGCCCTTTCTTCCCCAGAAGAAACACAAAATAAACAAACAGAATACCCTAAGTCATTATGCATTGTGCTCTCTTCCATCTGGCCAAATTTTACAATTGATTTTATTGGTACTTACTCTGTAAATTAGCCCTCTCAAATGTTTTGGTCTTTTAGTTCCTATATTTATTTAGTGGTGCTGCCATTTGAATCTAGGACTTTATGCATCCTAGGTAAACTCTGCTACTGAGCCATAGTATATACCTCATGTTTCATTTACTAGATAGAGTGTTTGAATGTTAATTAGGAGGAAAACTAAAATGTTCACTGGGCTGGCAAGGTGGCTTAGTTAGAGAGAGGGTAAAGGCTCCTGCTGCTTGGCTTAACAATTGAGTTTGAGTCCTAGGATCCACATGATGAGAGGTGAGAACCCATTCCTGCAAGTTTCTAACCTCCATACATTTCTTAACACATGTCCTCTCTTCCTGCAAATAAATACATACATAAAAATTTTGTAGCTGGGCGGCTGTGGCACACACCTTTAATCCCAGCACTTGGGAGGCAGAGCCAGGCAGATCTCTGTGAGTTTGAGGCCAGCCTTTGATCTACAGAGCGAGATCCAGGACAGGTACCGAAACTACACAAAGAAATCCTGTCTTAAAAAAAACAAATTTGTGGCTAGGCCAGTGGTGGCGCACGGCTTTAAAGTCCTAGCACTCAGGAGGCAGAGGTAGGCGACCCTCTGTGAGTTCAAAGCCAGTCTGGTCTACAGAGCTAGTTCCAGGGCAGCCAGGGCTACACAAAGAAACCCTGTCTCAAAAACCCAAGATAGATAAATAAATAGCATTTTAAAAAGTATCCACTTAAACTTGGTTTTAGCTTAGGACTGGAGAGATGGCTTTTTCAAAGTCTAAAAATGTTTTCAGGTTAAAAAAATAAATATGCTTTTAGGCACTGTTGTCATGCTGATACGTCTACTTAAAATACTTCCTCTTCTATTCTAGTGACCTAGTAGAAAAACATCACCATGGCTACAGAAATTGGCTCTCCTCCACGATTTTTCCATATGCCGAGGTTTCAACACCAGGCACCCCGACAGCTGTTTTATAAGCGCCCCGATTTTGCACAGCAGCAGGCAATGCAGCAGCTTACCTTTGATGGAAAACGCATGAGGAAAGCTGTAAACCGGAAAACCATAGACTATAATCCTTCTGTAATTAAGTATTTGGAGGTAAGTCCAATGAACTTTAATGGCCAAAAAAATAGTTTTTTAAAAACGAAATAAAGGGTAGTAAATATTACTGGTATTTCTTGAATTAGTGGGATGGATTAGCGTTTTAGATGTAGAGTTCATTAATCATCTTCTGAAAATGACTCACAGTGTATGTGAACTAATAAGTGACTACCAACATAGTAATATTTCTGAGACACTGGCACTGAGAACAGGACTTGTCCCACTTCTGAGTTCCCAATGGTAAATTCTAGTCTGGAGGAGTAGCTCTATATTTACCTTGAAGATTGAATACCTACTATAGTCATGGAATGTAGGTGATCTGCTTAAAGTGCTCTCAACTGTTTCTGTACTTTAGAGTTCTTTATGTACTTGTGTTAGCCTGTTAAATGTTACTGTGCCATCCATTTGGTTTAGTTTGCTTTTTATACCTTAGTTCAGTGGTTAAAGGCCTGTTTGCACATTGAACTAATTAGTATATTACAGGCACATGGCAAAAAGTGTCAAGGGCAGATTTAGACTTTTTAGTTTTTCCTCTTTTTTTAGACAGGATATTATATAGCACAGGTTGTTTTTGAATTCCCAAACTTTCCCCCCTCCATCCAAGTACTGAGATTAAAGCATGTGATGTCACGTTGGTTGATTTAGAGTTTCTTGGCAATATCATTTGGGAAACTAGTGTATGAAGCTAAAATTTGGAAGGAATAAAAAAAGAAAGCCAAAATAGAGATAAAAGAAATTGTTTTGTGCTAATAATGGTTTTGGCAAAAGTATGATTGCCAGTCTATCCTCACTCCCCCCTCACCAACTTATTTATTTTATGTGTATGATTGTTTTGCTTGCGTGTATGTATGTCTACTGTGTGTATGTATGCCTGGTGCCCATATAGGGAAGAAGAGGGGTTATCTATATCCTCTGGAACTGGAGTTACCAAGCTGTGAGTAATGTGGGTACTGGCATCCAGGTCCTCTGGAAGAGCCAACTCTCCAGTGCTCCCTCCCAGTTCCATTTATCAGAATGATAAATGAGTGAGGACGTGTTGGGGATCAGAGGAACTGGATGGATAGGGACAGGGCTACTTGAATGAAATTCTAAACAGGAGCAGCAGGAAAGGGGAAACATCTAAGACACCACCATCACTGTTATCTGTGTTTGAGAAAATAGCCTGGTATTGGTGTACTCCTTTTATCCCAATGCCCTGGAAGCAAAGGAACTCTTGAGTTCCAAGCCACACTGGTATATATAGGGGGTTGCAGGCTATACAGTGAGACCTTGGCTTTGAAAAAACAAAACTCAAAACACACATGAATGCTGTTACATTTGGGGGCTGGGGAGGTGTCTCAACAATAGTTAAGAGCATGAGCTGCTATTCTAGAGGACCTGGGTTTGATTCTCAGCAGGAACATAGTGACCCATAGCCATCTGTAATTCCAGTTTAGAGTATCTCATGCTCTTCTGACTTCTGGGTATTAAGCATGCGTGTGTTGCTTGGTACTCACATGCATACACATGCAGGCAAAAATCCATACACATAAATGAAAAAAACACATTAGGTTTCATTATTTTTTGTTTTGTTTTGTTTTTCGAGACAGGGTTTCTCTGTGTAGCTTTGTGCCTCTCCTGAAACTCACTTGGTAGCCCAGGCTGGCCTCGAACTCACAGAGATCCGCCTGGCTCTGCCTCCCAGAGTTCTGGGATTAAAGGCGTGCGCCACCGCCGCCCGGCTAGGTTTCATTATTAATTAAATTTTACATGACTGTCACAAGGCCACATACTCATTAGTTAATTTATTTTTAACAGAATAGGATATGGCAAAGAGATCAGAGAGATATGCGGGCCATTCAGCCGGATGCAGGTTATTATAATGATGTAAGTATAAGTTCTAACATACTAGCTTAATAAAAATCCCCTTGTTTGGTCATGTAAACCTCAAAGCATATGAATTCAGGATCAAAGTTGTCTTTTCTTCTTACATTTTTTTTTAAAGATTTATTTATTTATTATGTATACAGTGGACATGCATGCTTGCAGGCCAGAAGAGGGAGCCAGGTCTCATTACTGATGGTTGTGAGCCACCATGTGGTTGCTGGGAATTGAACTCAGGACCTCTGGAAGAGTAGCCAGTGCTCTTAACCGCTGAGCCATCTCTCCAGCCCCTTCTTCTTACATTTTTATAGTTAACATATTTGCAAAAGTATAATGTAGTATGTCTGTATTTACTTTGATTTAATTTTGTCTCAACTTAAATATTCCTTTAAATTTAATGATGAATAAACTTTAGGCAGAAGCAATGTCGAAAGATTCAACAGCTTCAAAGTCTTTTTTTTTGTTTTTGTTTTTGTTTTTCGAGACAGGGTTTCTCTGTGTAGCTTTGCGCCTTTCCTGGATCTCGCTCTGTAGACCAGGCTGGCCTCGAACTCACAAAGATCCGCCTGCCTCTGCCTCCCGAGTGCTGGGATTAAAGGCGTGTGCCACCACCGCCCGGCTGCTTCAAAGTCTTTTAATAGAAAAATTAAATTTAAATTTGAGGTTTTGCAAACATGCTTTGCATATTGACTTTGAGAAGTAATTTAGGAAATCTGATACTTAAGCAGACATTGAAATTAAGTTCCAGATAAATATTAATAGGTGTTTAACTTTTTATCTTAGTTTTCTTTTAATGTAGAATACTTTTAATCTCCTAAAAGCTTTGGAAAGTTGTCCTGAAGTTTTCTTAATCGTTATCTTGCTATGTACTTTGTTTCTTCTCTGTGTGTTATCAGGTGTTACAAAAACCCAATGTTCTTTTTTCTTTTCCTTTTTAATAGCTGGTCCCACCTATAGGAATGTTGAATAATCCCATGAATGCAGTTACAACAAAATTTGTTAGGACATCAACAAACAAAGTAAAATGCCCAGTATTTGTTGTGAGGGTAAGTATTCTGTTATGTATTTTTTTTTTTAATTAATTCTTAGTTTTACAAATTTATTTGACAAGATTGGGCAAGGTAGCACATGCCTTTAATCCTAGAAGCAGGAGGATCTCTGAGTTCAAGGTCAGCCTGGTCTACATAGTTTCAGGATAACCAGGACTACATAGATAGACTGACTCTAAAAACAAACAAAAAAGTATTTGACAAAACAAAAATTAAATACTATATTAAATGTATACTTAAGATAATAATTGGTTTGCTAATAACAGTTTTACTTTGGATTGTACTATTTTATCCATTTTGTCCACTGATGGTAGGATAATGTGCTTTGAATTGTTTTTCATCATGTTGAAGAATTATGTAATATGTAGTATATTCATACTGCGGCAGGTCTCAGGATAGCCCTTGAATAAAAATGGCTTTGTTGCTGTTGGAAAAACAGCATCCTAAGGTGAATTAAAAGCTGTCAGGTGTTGATAGCTGAAAGCCTATGATACATCATACTTAACAGCTATGTGAAGGTGCCCAGTAGTTTCTTTGGAATTACAAAATACAATTTTATAATCAGGAATATATTCACATTGCTCGATATTTTGAAGGGATTTTGCAGTTTAAAAAAAAGTTATTTTCCATATTGACCAGACAGACATTCAGTTCATAGTCCTACAAATGGTATTGTAATCATTTTTTTAAAATTTCATTTCCTTTCTCCTTCCATCCTTTTTAGTTTTTATTATTTTTTTTAGAATTTTTCAGTTTTTTGTTTGCTCTGTTTTTTGTTTTCTGAGATAGCATTTCTTTGTGTAGCCCTGGCTATCTTGGATCTCCCTCTGTAGAACAAGTTGGACTCTAACTCAGAGATCCTCCTGCCTCTGCCTCCCGAGTGTTGGGGTTAAAAGTGTGCACCACTACCACCTGGCTTGATTTCTTTTTAAATGTGTATACATGCACGTCTATGTGCATGTTAGTAGAAGTGCCTCTGGAGGCTAGAAGAGGGTATCCCGGTCCTTTGGAGCTGGAGTTCCATGTTGGGAGCTGCCTTATGTGGATGCTGGCCACTGAACCCAGGCCTCTGTAAGATCAGTATCTTCTCTTAACTGTTGAGCCATCTCTCAAGCTCCCTTGCTCCCTTGTGTAGTTGTTTATTTTTATTCTTTACTCCTTGGGGGCCCACCACCCAGCTCCCAAATAAACATGTGGAAACTTATACTTACTTATGAATGCCTGGTCTTAGCTTGGCTTGTTTCTAACCAGCTTTCCTTAACTTAAAGTGCCCCGTCTATCTTTTGCCTCTGGGCTTTTACCTTTCTCTATTCTATATTCCTTTCTCTGTTTCTTCTTACTCTGTGCTAGTTGTGTGGCTGGGTGGCTGGTCCCCAGTGTCCTCCTCTCCTATTGTCTTGCTCCTCTCACTTTTCTTTTGTTCTCTCTGCATGCCAGCCCCACCTCTCTTTCTCCTGCCCAGCTATTGGCCGTTCAGCTCTTTATTAGACTAATCAGGTGTTTTAGACAGGCAAAGTAACATAGCTTCCCAGAGTTAAACAACTGCAACATGAAAGAATGCAACTCATCTTTGCATCATTAAACAAATATTCCGCAGCATAAACGAATGTAGCACATCTTCAAATAATATTCCACAGCACCCTTGTTTATTTTATTTTATTTTTAAACTTAATTATTGTATGTATATATAGGGGGGGCTCTCCCCTGTGATGTATATGTGGAGGTTAGGTCACCTATGGAGTTGTGTCTTTTTTAACCTTTATGTGGGTTTTAGGAGTTGAACTCAGGTTGTCAGGATTCTCTGGAGCTGGAGTTAAAGGGTGGTTGTGAGCTATCTGATGTTGGTGTTGGGAAGCAAACTCTGGTCCTCTGGAAGAGCTGCACACACTTTGAACTGCTGAGTCATTTTCCAGTCCTTTATTATCCTTTTATGATACAGGAAACCTTTTTGAAATGAAGTCTGCACATTCTGTATTTTTATTTTTATTTTCTCTCCTTATTACTAGGGATAGAGCCTAGGGCCTTGCATATGCTCTGAATTACATCCTTAGCCCCCCCACCCCTTAAGAAAAAAACAAAACAATAAACCTCATGCTGGTCTTGAACTCATCTTGTATTGTAGCCCAGGCTGCCCTAGAACTCTTGGTCTCCCTTCACCTTCTCCATGTGGTGGATAAGTTTTCTTCTTTGGAGATCAAGGTATGAGATTTTGGGAGAAATTTGTGCTTATTAGAGACAGTCTGTTGAAAATTACTAAGAAATGCTTTATTTACAGTTTGGTTTACTATAGAATTGATGGGGTTGGGACCATAGCAGATAAAAAAATCTAGGAAGATAGGAGTACTTTATTCAGAATCATCAAAACGATGTTTATTGATAAGGCAATACAGAGCTAAGTGGTCACACATATTTGTGTCATTTTCCAAATAAACTTCATTTTATGTATTTTATCATGTTTCTTTAGGCACACCTGTTTTTGCAATATTGGTTTTTACATAGGATAATAAAATTGTACTGACCTTCTATGTATTTATATTCTTTATGGAAAATGAGTGAAACTGAACAAAAGGAAAATGAATTATATACACACACAGACACTTGCACTGTTTGTTTATTTTGTGGCAGAGTCTTATTGTATAGCCGTGGCTGGCTTGTAACTCATTGTGTAGACCAGACTGGCCTCAAGTTCACGGAGATCCTCCTGCCTCTCCCTCCATAGTACTGGAATTATAGTGTTATCATGCTTGGCAAAAATAAATTACTTTATTTATTTATTTATTTATTTTGAGACAGGGTTTTCTCTGTGGAGCTCTGGCTGTCCTGGAACTCACCCACTCACTTTGTAGAGCAGGCTGGTATCGAACTCAGAGATCTGCCTTCCTCTGCCTTCTGAGTTCTGAGATAAAAGATGTATGCCACCATGCCTGGTATATATTATATTTTAATGGTGATTAGCAAGTATGTCACAGATTCACTTCAGCATACAGACTGTGGCATTAAAATAGTTATGTAGTGCTTTTTGTTCTAATGTATTAAGACTTTTTTTTTTTCCTTATGTCTTCCTGTATTGAGATAGACTCTTGGTATTGAACCCTGACAGGCCTGGTGTTCACTATATAGCCCAGGGTAGCCTTGAACTCTCAGCATCTTCTGATATCATCAACCTCCTGAGTGCTGGGTTTCCTAACGTAGATCATTATTACTGGCAGCATGGACTCTTGTTTTACTTTTTTTTTTTTTTTTTTTTTTTTAAGATTTATTTATTACATATACAGCATGTATCCCTGCAGGCCAGAAGAGGGCACCAGATCTCATTACAGATGGTTGTGAGCCACCATGTGGTTGCTGGGAATTGAACTCAGGACCTCTGGAAGAGCAGTCAGTGCTCTTAACCTCTGAGCCATCTCTCCAGCCCCTTGTTTTACTTTTTAAAAAATAATACAGCCTGAGGCTTGGCCTTGAATTTAGAAGAGCATAAAATAACTCTTGTGTGTGTGGTCCTGGAGATTGAACTCAGGGCTTATGCATGCTAGGCAAGTGTTCTACTGCTGAGCTAGAACTCCATAATGTGGGTTTTTCCTTTTTCCTTTTTCCTTTTTTTTGGGGGGGGGGGGCAGAATCACACTATGTAGCTCTGGCTGGCCTGGAACTCCCAGAGATCTGCCTGCCTCTACCTCCAGGCTTTTCTTTTGGTAGTGTCTCACAGAGGCCAGGACATTGAGAATTTACTATGTATCAAAGGATGACCTTGAATAATATTTATAAAATTATAAAATAAATATAAAAATAAAATTACAAAAATAATAATAATATTATTATTATTTTATATGCTTTGGTATTTTGCCTGAATGTATGTCTGTGTGAGGGTGTTGGATCTGCTGGAACTAGAGTTACAGACACTTGTGAGCTGCCATGTGGGTGCTGGGAATTGAACCTGGGTCCTCTGCAAGAGCAGACCCTGCTCTTAACCGATTAGCCATCTCTCCAGCCCCGACCTTGAACTTTTCTTTCTCTCTCTCTCTCTCTCTGAACTCTCTCTCTCTCTCTCTCTCTCTCTCTCTCTCTCTCTCTCTCTCTCTCTCTCTCTCTCTTTATTTTTTGAGATGGTTTCTCTGGAACTCACTCTGTAGCCCAGGCTGGCCTCGAACTCACAGAGATCCGCCTGCCTCTGCCTCCCAAGTGCTAGGATTAAAGGTGTGTGCCACCACCGCCCGGCGATTATTTTCTATATATGTGCCACACAGTCCAACAGCAATCCCGAAAGATTCCTTATTTTTCATTCAGTCATTTGAACTTTTCTGGTGACTGCCCACCTTATTTATATTCGTCTCCTGTGTAGCCTAGATAAGAGTGAAATCTGCCGGGCGGTGGTGGCACACGCCTTTAATCCCAGCACTTGGGAGGCAGAGGCAGGCGGATCTCTGTGAGTTTGAGGCCAGCCTGGTCTACAAAGTGAGTTCCAGGAAAGGCGCAAAACTACAGAGAAACCCTGTCTCGAAAAACCAAAAAAAAAAAAAAAAAAAAAAAAAAAAGAGTGAAATCTTTACATATTATGATTTGACTTGCTTTTTAAGTACATAGGGTACTATACATTCCTTTTTAAACTTAGCTAATGAGCCAGAGTATTAGTGCTTCCCTTCACTGTGCCAGGCAAGTTCTCTTCTGACAGTATACTTGCTTATAAAGGTACATCAACTATAAAACAGTGTTGTCTACTTTATTTGGATGAGCTAATATTTTATGAATAAAGGTTCTGGGGACTGGAGAGATACTCATCAATTAAGAACACCTGCTACTCTTCCAGAGGACTTGAGTTCAGTTCCCCACACCCACATTCTGCAGCTGACAACTGCTTGTAACTCTCGCTCAACTCACGCATGCACCAAAACAAGCAAACAGAAATGCCTTTGAAAGTATTTCTTAAATTAATGAAGCTGCAAGACTGGTGCTTATATGTGACCTGTCTTCCTTTTCTTCCTGCAGTGGACCCCAGAAGGAAGACGCTTGGTCACTGGAGCTTCTAGTGGAGAGTTCACCTTATGGAATGGGCTGACTTTCAACTTCGAAACCATATTGCAGGTAACAGTAACCACCAGATGGTAGCTCATCTAAGAACTTGAGGGTACAGTCAAGTTCATTGGCATTGTAAAACTTAACAATTGAATAGTTTACTGCTCTAAGTTAATATAGGTTCCTTTCAGCCCAGCCATATATTCTCTTAAAGAAAAACTAAAAAATGTTTTCTGTTTTCACAGGCTCATGATAGCCCTGTGAGGGCCATGACTTGGTCACATAATGACATGTGGATGTTGACAGCAGATCATGGAGGATATGTGAAATATTGGCAATCCAACATGAACAACGTCAAGATGTTCCAGGCACATAAGGAGGCGATTAGAGAGGCCAGGTTTATACACAATATACCATTTTCTGTAGTCCCTATTGTCATGGTTAAATTACTCTCTAAGTGTATTCTGGTTGCAGAGATGCATGGGCTCTCTCAGATTCTGGGAAACTTTCTGCACCTTATGAACACAATATATCTCTTTGTTTTCACACATTCACCATTTTGCTGGCACCGTTCTGAAGTAGTTTTGTCCTGGTATCAGCCTTTGCAATATGTTAGAGATGTATTGTCTGACACATTTTGCACTGGTTTTCTCTTTTCATTTATGGTTAATAATGTGTATACGTTACTCCTTTTTATTATCTACTGTGTAAGACAAGAATATTCCAAATAAAGAATTCAGTCTTTAATTATACAACTGAATAAAATCTAAAGCCTACAGAAATCACCTTCAGAATCCACACAAAAGTCAAGGAAAAAAAAGAGGCTTAAGTGAAGACCTGGTTGGCTTGGTTCTGCCACGACTTCAAAAAGAAAGTATAGGACTAAAAACCTCACAGATAACTCTCTGGACGTGGCAAACATTAACGGATTAATGAATGGGTTCTTCATGCTTTGCAGCTGTAAACAGACCTTTGTCAAAGAAGACTCTAGGACTTTTCTTCTGATTCACTGTTGATAACAAGACTTATGCAAATGTATGAGTGGAGTTAAAACATTTTCAGTGAGTTGTATGTTTTTACATAACAGTGAGAAATGTATAGTAAAACCGGGGGAAAGAGTTTCAAAAAGAAGCCTGAAGAAGTGCTGCAGCCTCAGAATAAAGCTAAGCAGCATTCTTTTAAGGTTGTGCCATCTTCATGTGGGAAGAGGTTGACTTTAGAAACACCATTTCTACTTTCAGAATCCACAGAACTTGTTGCATATACATGTTTCTGCTTTATAGACCTGGCCTCAGTGTCGTGCTCATAATATTTTTTTCATTGTTAGTCATTCAGAAGTTCAAGGGACTTCATACAGTTCATTGAAAATCTTGATGGTTTTTCACAGCCAGGAAGAAAACTGGCTCCCTCTTGTGTAGCAGTCATTGGCTTTAAAAAGAAATCTGATGTATATTTTAAGTTTTCCTCCAAAGGTACAACATTCATGGGATTGCTTTACACCTGGAAAAAGGCATACAGTTTTCATAGGCCTTTTAAATAAGTGAGAGACCTAATATATGAAGATCTTGAGCAGTCAGTCTTACTAGCCTGCTTAAAAGTGTTTTAGCCTATCATTTTTGAAGTTTAAATGTCTGAGGCAGAAACTGATGCTCATGTTTTGAGCAGTATTCCTCTGTGGCTTAAATGACTATGTGCAGAAATATTGGTAAGAGTAGAACACATTTAGTTTCACTGTTAAGGCAGCTCCCCATGTTTTGTTGACACAGGAAATACACTACAAGGAGCACAGGTAATGAAAGGACTAGTAATGCACTGAGGAGTTCTCTGAATATTGATGGAAATGGAAAAGAAAAAACCCTATTCTTTTGAAGTCTTTTGATGAGATGCATATGTTAGCTGACTACATTCTTCTTTAAGGGCTTCTTCACTGGATACTTCCTTCTCCTGTTTATAATGCAGCACAGTGTTTTTATTTTTCCCTGTCTGAGAAGCATGGATGATCTGTTAAATGCTGACCTCTTTCCCCTGCTGTGTGTCTTCATGTAACAGTTTCTCACCCACGGATAATAAATTTGCTACATGCTCTGATGACGGCACTGTTAGAATCTGGGATTTTCTTCGTTGCCATGAGGAAAGAATTCTCCGAGGTATGTGTACAAACAGTACTGATTGAAATATTTAAATAGGGAAGGCATTTGTGGTTAAATCATCACAATACACAATATTGGCTTGTATTTCCATTAAAGTATTTTTTTTTTATACATTCACCATCTCTGCCAAAAAAACACGGCTGTTCTCTAGTTTGCATTCATTTTGTAAATTTTCACTAATAATAATTTCACTATCTTTGAATTCTTTCAGCTGTAAAGTAAATATGAGCTCTCCCTTTCCCTATCACTTCTTTATCTTTGTGTATCCCTTAGGGAAGTACTCTTTCCTGACATAGACATTTCAAAATAATAGACAGCCCACATATTCATGACAGCTCTTGCACAGGTAACACATTACCCGCTAAAATAGAGGTGTTAGTAGCTGTATTTATTTGCCCCCTTTTTGAGAAAGGTTCTCCTTGGGAAGCTTAAGCTGGCCTGGAACTTGCTGTATAGCCTACGCTAGCCTGGAACTTACAGTCCTTAGTCCTTGTCTCAGACTCCCAATTCTGGGGGTGCAGTTGTGCTTCATTGCAGCTGGCTTACTTGGAATTTGTAGGTTATTTCACTTTGTATAGTGGGACTATATATGAATTCTAAGGTAGTAGAGTTTGGGAATTAGCTGTGTTTTTTTTTTTATATATATATTCTTAGTGCAGACATCATAATAAAACCATTTGTACTTCTAAGTACTTGGTTTATTATTCACTAAGAATGTACTATTCTTTTTTTTTTTAAATTTATTTATTTATTGTTCATTGTTGTTTGGCTGTGTAAGGGTGTAGGTCCCCTGGAACTGTAGTTACAGTCGTGAGCTGTTATGTGGGTGCTGGGAATTGAACCCGGGTCCTCTGGAAGAGCAGTCAGTGGTCTTAACCATTAGGCCATCTCTCCAGCCCAGAATGTAGTATTTTCAAGTGTTTAGTTTAAACCTCTACTAGTTTACAAACTGCCTTTTTTACTCCATGCCCTTGATTCCTGAATGCCTCAGAAGTAACATTATGTGAAAGGGAAATTCAGGGTGGAGAATGGGTACCAGAGATAACATTTGTCAAGACATTATGATTCAGAGGTTTCCCTTCATGTTAAAGAGTCAGCAGTTAGTTGTCTTGGTGGAATTGTAAATTTCTTAAAGCTGGTAAGATACTTTACCATGCCAGATGTGGTTGTGCACACCCTTTAATCCTAGGAGAGGCAGGCAAATCTCTCTGAGTTCCATGTTAGTCTAGTCTACATATAGAGTTCCAGACCAGCCAGCTCTATATAGTGAAACCCTGTCTCAGAATAAAGCAAACAAAACTAAACTTGAAAAATTTTAAAAACACATATTTTAAGCTAATATCATTGAATGTATTTTCACATTGGCTTGGATCCATGTACAGTTATGCATCACCATAGCTAGTATAGGGATCTTGTTGGTGCCTGTTAAATTGAGGGGCATATACACTGTGAAGGTCATGATACCATGCAATTTAAGAATGAGGTAGAGTCTTTGAGAGCTTAGTCTAAATTACTATATGGAAGAGTACCACGACTCAGAAGATTTAAGTGACATGTTAAAAAAAATAATAGGTCCAGTGCCATAACTTGAATCTTAACCACTTGACTTTTATCCTGGTAGTATACTTAGGTTGGATCTTTCCTCACTGTTCTTAGAAATATTAGATGTTAAACAGACATAGGTCAATGTTTTCTAGGCTTTGAAAAATCCTTAGGAATAAAGGGATTACAATGATAAACTTTACAATCTTCTGAAATATAATAACAGAATTCTCATATAAAACTGCTCAATAATTTGTATTGAAACAAAATCTTTTCTAACTTAACATTTTTTTTTCACCTTCCATACCAATGAAGAGCTCTGAAAACGGCTCTAAGTATGCCCAGCAGTGTCTCTGAAATTCGTGTTATAAGTAGCAGTTGATATTTTTAGGTTTGAGTTAAGGTGAGCTTTTTTATTTTTAATTTGAGTCAGGTGAATTTAGATAAAATGGAAGCTGTTAAATAGGCAACACATACTCAAGTATATTAATATCATGTATATTAATTAAGTGAGAGTTTTATTCTCTACATGAGGACTGTCCATTTTAGGCTTTATATGGGTGTTTCAAATATACACAAAATATGCTGGATGCCCGTGTACTTTTAGGATTTATGTTTTTCCTTGTACATATGTATGTCATTTTCTTCCTTGTAAAAACACTTTTACTGATTAATAATTCAATGAGTATATGAGACAAATGTGAATGTAGTCAACTAAATCAGTTAAATAGCCCAAACAGTTGTGAGAGCAAGTCTCACATAATCCATGAGATTTTAGATTCCAGGTACCGTTTTCTGTCAATCCATTCTCTAAATTCTGGGACACTAAGAGCGTTTCTGTTCTACTTGATGGTGGAGACAGATTTACAGTCATCACTGGCAGGATGCAAAATTGTTCAACAGCAATTAGAAGGAAGGACCTGAGGGTAGCTTCTCATGGAAAACATGGGATCCCAAAGTCAAACTTGGGGGTTGGGGATTTAGCTCAGTGGTAGAGTGCTTGCCTAGCAAGCACAAGGCCCTGGGTTCGATCTTCAGCTCAAACAAACAAACAAACAAACACACCAAAGTCAAACTGGGACTGGATGAATGTTCGTTCTGTCTTCTAAAATGTCAGTTGCCCTGTGTTAAGGGCAGTAGTCATAGTCCACACATACCTATCTGACAGGCAAGCAAGGCACACTTCTTTCTCTTGTGGTATGTGTCAGGCACTCACTTTGAGAGGTTAGGTATTTAGAAAATCAAGAAAGCGCTGTTAAAGGGAGGTGATGATCATATAGTCTGAGGCTTTATCACATACTTAACCTGTTCTCCATCATCCATAAAAATCAGACTTTTACTCAGAGTTTTAGTGATACGGTATTTGTTACCTCATGTTTCCCTTTACCTATATCAGGTCCAATTTTTAGCTCATTCTTCCATTATGTTGGTAATCTACTTTTCTATAACTTGCTCTTCTGTTTGGGACATCAAGGGGAAAAAAAGCAAAAACATTTAGTGCATGTCTATAATCTCAACACTTGAGAGAGGTAGAGCACAGCCTGGGCTATGTAAGACACTTTCCAAAACAATAAAAAAAACCTCTATAATCTCTCCTGTCTGACAGCCAATTAAATATTTAAAGTAACAGTCATGTCTTTTTTTCCTCCAAATTTTTCAGCTTTAAGCACACAGTATTCTTCAGAAGCCACAATAACATTTCAGTATAGAATTTACAGTTGCCTTTTTTAGTGTCATTTATGATATTGTTCTTAACTCTTCATGTAAAATGAGTTATACAAGAGAAACATAATATTTAAAATGGACATAGAACAATTGTTGGGAGGTTTGCTGTACAAAGGATTGGTTGATTCATAAACTCATGAAATTGAGTATAGCATAGAATTGGGAACATCTTTTTAATGTCCCTTATATACTGAAGTTTATACACATTTTTCCTTTTTCTCTAGTTAAAAAGTGCTTAAAGTTTTGTAGGCAAGATATTTTCACAAGCTTTTATCATCTTAAAAGCAGAGACCAGTGAATAAACTTAATACTTGTTAGAAATACTTTTATTGACACAGAAGAGGGAAGAAGACCTGCGACCCTGTGTCTAAAAGCAAAACAAACTTCTTACTGCCAAGTTGAAAACATGTAATTATTAAGCCACCGCCACCTGGCCTACATGTAATCATTAAGAATGCAAAAATAAATTTTAACGAGAAGCATTATACTTCAAAAGAGAATCTACTCCAGAAATCCACTGCACTTGAAGTTTTGTATTTCCTTCTTGATTTTAGCAATAATAGCTGGTACACTGATCAGGCCCAGTGTAAGTACTTAATGTAGTATCATCAGCAACACTTTGGAATAAGAATTGATTATTCTCCACTTTACAAATGAATGACATGGTGACTAAAAAGTTAAATAAACCTGCCAAAGATCATACATACAGTGTAAGAAGTAGGGCTAGGATCTGAAGGCAAGTGTGTGACTTGAGTTTATTCTACTCACAGCAGGGCACATGCTAGGCAAGTAACCCAGCCACTGAGCTATGTCATCAAACCTTTTAGATTTTAAAAGATGGTCGTCAGAGATTGTGTACCTGGGCTATGGCGATAGAATTACAAAGTAAAGACTTTGGTAGGGGAGGAGGGGAAGAGTGGGCAGAGGGAACTCCAGTTTATTTTAATACTTGTCTTAAAAAGTGTCCATATAGGTTACAGTTTTTTTTATGTACCACATATTGAACCATAAAAACATTAAATCACACTGAATTGTTGAAACTTCAAATGGGTTACAAGGTATCTGCTAGGTTATACAAATGTACAGGAAGGGGTACCCTGCGATAGTTCAAGAGGAAACGCCTTGGTTGGGAATGAATCTGTTGGTATGTGCTTGCTTAGTATGCACTGAGTCGCGGGATCATTCCCCAGTATCACCTAAAACTGAGTATGATAGTGCATGCCTCTGGTCTTAGCAGTGGGGAGGTGGAGGGAGTACGATCAGAAATTCAAGGTCATCCTTTGCTACATAGCATTTGAGACCAGTCTGGGCAAAGTGTGACTCTAAAAGCAAAACCAAACTTAACCTGTTTTACTAAATTTTATTTTGCTTTGCTTTAAGAAAGGGTCTTACTCTGCAGTCCAGGCTGGTCTTGAATTCACTATGTAGCATATGTTGTCCTAGAACTCATGGTGTTCTTCTGGAGTCACTCTAGCCTCTTCAAATGAACCCACACATTCACCACACAGCTTAAGAAAATGAACAGCATTCATACTTTTTTTTTTCCTTTTTGTTTTTTTCGAGACAGAGTTTCTTTGTGTAGCCCTGGCTGCCCTGGAACTAGCTCTGTTGACCAGGCTGGTCTTGAACTCATGGAGATCTGCCTGCCTCTGCTTCCTGGGTGCTGGGATTAATGGTGTGCCACCACCACCTGGCAGCATTCATGATCAGATTCAGTAGTTTTTCTTCAT